GGGGGGGGGGGGGGGGGGGCGTGTGGGGTGCTTGCATGCATACCTTAGCTTTTTTTTCCAGTTAAATTAATCAATCCCCAACCTCAGACCCCCAACAGCGTAATTGAGTATGTGTTTGCTTATCAGAAACGGATAGGGTATTTTGAGAGCTCTCCTCTAAATTACCATAATACCCCTCTTTCCCTCAAATTGCTTTCTTGATCAGTAGAATTGAGAAATGGGTTTTTATTTCTAGGTTTAGAGCTCCCCCGGTTGATCAGACTTTTGTTTGCAGCGTCTGTATCCACTTTAAATGCCTTTAGTGGTGCTTTTGTTCAGCTCTTGGTGTAAGTGCTTACAAAGGTTGTGGACATTCGTCTGCAAAACAGATGTAGTGAGACCTTTATTTTGTTGTGGAAACAGAAGGGCTAATGTGTGAAGCTCGTAAAGATTGGAGGGGGGTGTGTGTGTAAATCCCAAGGAATTTTAAAAAACTGTTTAATGGGCTTTAGTAAAAGGTGAAGCCACAAATGAAGCAGGAAAAAGATTGTATAGATAAGCCATCACTGAAAAATATTGCATCACCACAGCCTTATATGTTGTAGTGTATCTGAGGAGCAGGGAGAGTTAGTGATGTCACTGGTCTCAGTGAGTTGTAAATGTGATGTAAAATGTTTTAATATGAACACCAGAGGAAGTTCACATGAGATAATTTTTACCTTTCATTTCCTTTGGGCTGAGAGCACAGGTGTTCAGTCGTGTGTTACATCCCAGTGATGAGACAGTGTCTGAGAAAATGCTGTAGGCCTGGCCAGGGCTGGTGAGGGAAGTGGCTTAAGGCTGATCTGTTGAGTCACTTCAGATATGCAGAGTTTTGCGAGTGCTCAGGGCGCTAGTTTAATCAATGGAAGATGTGTATGTGTGTTTGCAGAGCTGAAAGAAATTTACCTTATCTGTAATTTTTTCAATTCAGTAAATGTAGCAGTGGCCATTCTGCCTGGTGAGATGAGAAGCATGTGTTCCATTTTTGTAAACTTAAAGATATTATAAATGTAACTTATGATATTGTTTATTACAGCATTTTGCATGGAAAAAATAACCCAAAATTAAATGTGTGCTTCTTTTCTTACTATATGTCTGCAGCCTTCAGATAATATCATTTTATCGCTGAAGATATTAAAGTGCTCATCCATCTTTTCTGTTTGTGGGGTTAAATCATATATTGTAAAATAGTTGGTATTCATCATCCTGCTGCATCCAGGTGCAGACTCTGTTTTGGTTTTGAAGTAGTTACTGCTTGGAAAATATTTTTTTTTTTTTTTTTTTTTTTTCTACCACAGGGACAAAGATGCCACCGTTAATGCTGAGGAAATGTCTGTTTGTCTACTGAGAAACCTAGGTATAAGTTTTGCTGTGTCTCTTTTGATTGTTTAATTTGTGTAGTAGATTATCAAGTTTTGGATGTAAGACTGTTTGCTTCTGTGTTCTTAATCAAGGCCTTACGGCAAAACAGGACGTTATTCTGCTCACACTTCTTTTAAGGCTCAGTCTTCTTTGGCCTAAATAATTTTGCCATGCTGTGAATATCTAATTTACATTAATCATGATTCAATTCCTTCTGTCCATTATATCTACTACTTGTTCAGGCTACAATTGTTTAGCAATCATTGCTGGCCTTCAGGCTGGTAGCATCATGCACTTCAGAGTTTACTTGCACTGTGAAGAGTGCAATACTACACATTAAAAACAAGATAAGGGATCAGTATTAACATGAAACCTCATACTATGAATCTTTTTTTTTTTTTAATGTTGGTGGTAAATAACCAAAATTGCTCTTTGAGTGGTAGATATGTATAAGTAAGGTGAAAAAGCAAGGTAAGTTGTTGAAGGCAGTGCTGCTCAAAGCACTCGCTACAAATTGTTCTACTGAAAAGGAATCTTCTGGTTTAGGAATTAGTAACAGTATTGCTACACTAAGAAGCAGGAGACATGAGCTGCATTCCAAATTCATTAGTTTGGCTGGAAATAATAAATCTTGTTTACATTTTTGCCTTTGTTTTTCTGTGCCTGTAGGGTGCATTCAGCTCAAATTTCCTGATCTTTCTCTGTCAACACAAAGGCTAAAACCTTACCTTTTTTAGGCCAAGACTCTCGAACAAGGTGGGCTAAACATGAAATAATGCATGCTGATAAGGCACACAGCAAATACAAATTTTTTACTTCTTATGATACTGATTCCATAATCTCACTTTGTATGTGGTATGAAATTTAAAATCCTCAAATTAATGATGCGTTTAGTGTGAGAGATTATGTATGATACTGACAAATGTTTATCCAGTAGTCTGCTTGTGTACAAAATGATCATTTAAATTACCTTGAAATTACCTAACTACCTTTTGTGTGTTAATATAGAGCACTCTCTAGGCTTCCTGGTATATAATTATTCTGATAGAAGAATGTATGAATGTTATTGCTATCAAAGTAGATTGAAATTTCTCCCTTGTCTTTTTTTATCTTTTTTTTTTCTTGATCTTCTCATAGATGGGAAAATAGTTTTACCAGGAAACCTCTTGGCCTTCACTTTCTATGGCAAACTTTGTAACATCATGGTGATGAAGGTGAAAGGAACTGATGGTGCAGAGCTGACTGCCCAGGGCAATGCCATTTCCAGTGATATGCATGAGCCAGACCCTGAAAAGTCTGATTTGGAGACAAGTATGTTAGATTTGTCCTTGCAGCTCAGCAAGATGGACATTGACACTAGTCCAGAGGTTGCATCTGTGAGCACACCAAGCAAACTGATGGAGCCAGGTTCACCAGTTACACCCAGTTCTGCTGTGGCAGCCAGTGGACAAGACTCTGCTCAGGGAGATAAAACCTACAGCAAGAGAGATGGTGCAGACCTCACCAATGGCTTGGAGTTGTCTGGGAAAGGAGGCAGTGAGGGACTCCCACTAACTGGCAAAGCTGGAGCAATAAGCAACACAGACGCTTTTTATTTCATTTCTTCAAGAACTAGAATCAGTTTTATTGAAACAAGGCTCAATATAGCAGAAGATGGTGATTTTGAATCCCGAGTCACCTATGACATGATAGGAGGTTTAAGCAGCCAGCTCAGAACTATTAGAGAAACAGTTGAACTGCCCTTGAAGCAAGCCGAACTGTTCAAGAGTTATGGTATGATGCTAAGAGTTGGCTTTCTTTATTTGATACTATTTTTTTTTCTTTCACGTGACTTTTTTTTTTTTTAAAAAAACCCCAATTTATTCTAAGAATATGCACAGAATTTTATGTAACACTGATCTGGTATACTTGTGCATCCAAGCAATGTCAAACTGTTTTATAATTATACTGTATGGATACTATGAAGGTGTTATGATTAGCTTGTGTGAAAAATAATTGAGTAGGAAATAAATATGTGTCTCTTAAGGAAATTTGGGTATGCATAAACAGAATTTATGGCAAATAGGAAAGAATTCTATACTTGGGTATTTGAAAGGTACAGATGTTTGTGTCATCATAAGATATTTTATTTGTTTTGGTAGAGTCAACTAATTATATTTTTCAATATAATTGAAAAATCTAATTATATGTAGTGTTCCTGCAAGATTTTAAGGAAGTGTTTGAGGCTGTTTACTCAAACTGCTCAGTGCGTTTAGTATGGAATTACAGAGTGGAAAAACTAACCCAATCACTGTTGCCGTATATAAAGTTATATCTAACATAAATATGGACTTAGAGGATTTTTTTTGACAAATGTATATGTATTTATTACAAATGAATATGTCCATAAAGCAGGCATGTCTGCTCATTGTACTTGTCTAGGTGTGCATCACTGTGAGACAGGGCTCCTACCTATAAATATTTCTTTAATATCATGTCTTTGAGGCTTTTTATTTTTCTGCTTTGCCTCTTCCCACATAAGCTTTACAGAGGAGGTAATTTCAGTGATCACTGGGACAATGTCCATAATACACAGGTGACTCTTCTGGTGTGTGTTGCTTGGGCATGATTGGCAGGTGACTGGGATGATGTGAGGCATCTTCATCCATGTGTGGTCCCGCTCAGTTCACTGATCTCCAGCCTCAGCATCACCACGTGGTTTTGTGTTAGAAAGTTTGCTTCAGCGTCATCCTTCTTCACACCTAGTCCCAGAAGTGCTTGATCAGATTCTCTACTAATTAAATGAGAGATGATGGTGTTGTCTTCCCAGCTACAAACCTTTAGTAACCATCCAACTGTTGAGAGTCCTTGTCCGCTCCTGGGCAGCGAGGCTGCCGGTGGAGGCGAGACCTTTGCTTCAGCAGCTCTGTTTCTTGCCGGTATCAGAAATACCACATGAGGGAGCAGCATATGCTTTAATGGACTGTTGTGAAGTAGTCTGTTGTAAAGACACTTTATTTCTATTCTCTGTCCATTAGCAGATATGTTTTTTTATTTTCGAGTATATTAGCTCCTAAGAGTTGGGCTTTCTGTCCACACAAGCTGTATTTATTCTCTGTCACCACTGGGGTTGTGACCTGCCCTTCAAGTACCAATCCCTGTCTGGTATTTCAGTACCCAACCAATGTTTTTAATTTGGTTGTGTTCCAGCAATGTCTTTTGTGCCAGGGTCAGTCCTTTGTCAGACATGTGTCACTGTTTTGCTTTATAATTTTTCACCTGTTTTCGGCCTTGTGCCCATTTAATTTGCCCTTGCTAGTCTGAAACCTTTTTTTTTTTTGACTCTTCACCTGGAATCATAATATTCCTTCAAGCAGTTACCTGTAGTTTCTGTCCAGTTTTAACTGGACACACTAGTACCTTATTATTCTAGGGTCCCTTTTGTTCTGTGCCTGAGTATTTGTTTTGGCTCTTAACAGTTGCCATTAGAGAGGCAAATTCATCCTTTTGGTGTGTGTTTTTCATCTTTTTGTAAATATTCTTGAATCAAGCCTCACAGTATATTTGAATTTTTTTTGAGTGTTGGAGAAGTGGTTTTCTGATGTTGTAAATCTGTAATAATGACACTGTAAGAATCATGAGTAACTTAAATACATCCATAGTCATTAGGTACTCAGTCCAGTAACTTTTGGGAAAAAAACCCAAACCTAAACAGACACTACAATGTGGAGGGAGAATTACAGTGTTGAACTACTGAAAAATACAATGGTTTAAATAGTTGCTTTTTGAATAGAATTATTTGGACTTTAAAAGGGAAAAATGTAGATTCATGTCTCCAAGAGTGTTCTTCCCATTGAAAGCCCACAATTTTATCAAAATTATGTCTGTTAAAGAAGTTAATGCTGAGGTCACGTTATAATTGATAATAACTGGGACAGTGCAATGTGCAAGTGCAGGTTGTTCAGTCTGGCACTTATCACAACTAACTTTCTTCTCTGTTTGTGTGCATGTGCTTGTTTAAAGGAATCTCTCCTCCTAGAGGAGTGCTATTATACGGCCCTCCAGGTACTGGGAAGACTATGATTGCCAAAGCCATCGCGAATGAGGTTGGCGCTCATGTTACCGTTATTAATGGTCCTGAAATAATAAGCAAGTAAGTCAACCCAATTTATTTTCCTTAATTCTATAAATATGTTAGCCCAAAATCTGTCCTGGCATCTATCCATTGTGGATAGATGTAGATGTAGAATTGGCTATCGGCTATTGGCCCAAGAGAGTCAAAAACAAATGGGAAAGGGTTCTCTCAAGTAGGGCTTATGTTTCTTCTTGCAATAAAAGAGATTTATTGGATTTGGCCAAGAAATTTGTCTAAGACATGGACTGCATTAAAGAGGGGCCTAAAACTGCATCTACAATTGCATGTTAGTTCTGCAACAAGAAGAGTGGCTTGTTAAAGCATATTTGAAATTAAGATGATACTGGACAGATTAATGTTCCCAGGGGCTGATTATTTTTTTTTTTTTAATGTTTCTAACAGAAGAGATAAGCTTTTCCCTTTAATCTTTTTTCTAGTTGCAAAATGGTTATATCTTTGCCTGTGCCCCATTTAACCTTAATTTCTTGTCCTTTGAAAATAAATACTATTGTAGATTTGCATATACTTTGGGATTTGAAAAGGTGTGCTAATGTCTTTTTGGAGCACATGAGCAGTATTTTCCAAGTTGCCTGGAAAAGACCAAAAAATGTTTTTTAATAAAATATTTTAATTATTATAGGTTTTATGGGGAGTCTGAATCAAGATTACGTCAGATATTTGCTGAAGCTTCTCTGCGGTATGTTCTTTTGGATAATTTTATTCGCGGTCACTTACTTGTGTTATTAGTTCCAGCGTTAATGTTCTTAAAAGAAAAACATTTGTGAGAATCTTTGAATTGTAATTTTTTTCCTGCAGTGTTTTTAAAAGGAAATAAATTTGTTTATCTAGAGTTTAGCTAAGGAAAGCAGTGAAATTCTAGTATGCCTATTAAATGCTTTTGGACACTACCCTCTTTTAAGGGACTGTTGCAGACGGTGCCAAATCGCTCGATCTGTATCGTTAGTGTATTGTACGCTTATTTCCACAGATGGAAGCATGAGCCAGAGTTTCACCTGGATCCGAATTTTGCTGTCTAGTTTTATCTTCGGAGACCAATGTAGTACTGTGCTGAGACACAGAAGCCAGCTCTAAATGAAGCTAGTGTTGGTATGGGTTATAGCATGCCTCTGGATTAGAGTGGCATTCTGCCCAAATTTATTCAAGCTGGTTGAGGCAGACTTTAGACTTCCAGATGCTTGGTGTTCATAACACATTAGTGAAAGACTGCCGCATACGGTATGTGTAGAAGTGGCAAATAAAATGCTGCCTCTTTACTCATGAAAGTTGTATATTTAGTGCTGAGTCTTGGGGAGAGAGTCATAGAAAAGTAGCTTGGTAGGTCATCTTAAAGGTATTTGTTGCCTAATATATTAGGCATTTTAGTTATGTTTTTGAGTAGCACCATACTCAAGGCTGAAACCTTCAGTTGCCTAAAGGAATGGGATGCTTGTTAATTTTTGTAGGAACTGGACGTTTTCCATAAACAGCTTTGCACTTCTGTGCCTTGGTGTTTTAAATCTTTCTGACCTGAGCACCTTAATGTTTTTCCCCCCATTTTTTTTTTTCTCCCCAGTCACCCCTCCATTATATTTATAGATGAGTTGGATGCACTTTGTCCGAAGAGAGAAGGGGCTCAGAATGAAGTTGAAAAGAGAGTTGTTGCTTCATTGCTGACATTAATGGATGGCATTGGCTCAGTAAGTAGACTGCACTGAGACAGTTAATGTGTGTGGGGACTAGCTGAACAAAATAATTTTGCGGCTATAATGCAGCCAATTTTAGATGTGTCATTTGAGGGAAAAGAAAATAGGCTTAAGTGAGACTTTACGTAGTAAACTAATGCTTTATTGGATGCTAAGCAGAAGACATAGGAAGGGAATGTCTCCTGATAACTGTGAGATTAAAAGAAAGTAAGTTTTATTCCATTCACTGTCGTTTGCCTTCTAGTCTTGTAGTTTTGGAAATAAAACTAAAATTTTAGTGATAGCCCATCACTGAACTAAGCCAGATATTTTTAATTGCTCTGAAATCAAAGTAACCAAAATACCTCTGGTGATATGCAGGCTGCATCATTAAAGGCAACAACAACTACTTCAGGATTGCCATAGTAGTATTTAGGACATAAACAAAAGCCTACTGAAGAAACAGTAAATTTAATTGACTTTAGTACATTATGGATTAAGCCCATAAAGTCTGCCAATTTCTAATCTTTTATTTTGTTATTATTAGCAGGAAATATGAAAGAAATCTGCTCACGGGATAAAAATGAGTTTCTGCTGTTTATGTACTCTGCAAGTTTCTCATTGTTTTCCTGCATTATAGTTTGAGTTGACCAGTCTGAAGCTGTTTACAAGCAGAATTTATTTTCCGATGGCAAAGGCTGGTGGATATTAATGGAGAAAGTGCTTCGTTCAGAAAAAGAGAACGGCACTGTGGGAGACCTCCTAGCTGATTTAGCCTCATTCTAAAAGGGAAAAAGCAGAGCTTGGAGAAATTGGTTAGGATTTTTGACCTTGTTTTTCCTACTGAACCTATAGGAAGCGTTGTAACCTCCTGTCTCAGCTGGTTTTGATACCTTAAATGATCCATTTTCCAACCATGTTTATTCAAGGTCTGCTGATACTTTTTTGCTCTTGTGCCAACGCTGCCTTTTAGCTTAAATGCTGCTTTCTCTTTCCTTGGTGCTTGCTTTCCTCATATAGGAAAGCAGGTTCCTGGGGATTAAAGTGTGAGACACTGGGATGAGGGCGTCTTGGAGTAGAGTTTCTCTTGTGTTATCTGTATGCACATGCAGCCTGTAGTGTCGCTAAATTGCAATTAGGGATAGGTTGGGTGGAATTACTTGGGTATATATTCTGAAGAGTTTGCTTTGTTCCTTTAGAGCTAGCATCAAGATTTGAATGTGTGTAGTAGTTAGGAAAAGTAAGCGAGAAGTACGTTTATAAGATACATGACATTTAATTGTATTTTAAAATTAATATTTTGCATTGTTTGATGCCTTCAGGAAGGCAGTGAAGGGCAGCTGTTGGTACTTGGGGCCACTAATCGTCCTCATGCACTGGATGCAGCACTGCGCAGACCTGGGCGTTTTGATAAAGAGATAGAAATTGGAATTCCTAATGCCCAAGACCGCCTGGACATACTCCAAAAGCTTCTGAAGAAAGTGCCCCATTCGCTCACAGCAGCAGAGTTGGCGCAACTGGCTGATAGTGCACACGGTTATGTGGGTGCAGATTTAGCAGCCTTGTGCAAGGAAGCAGGTGAGACATTGTATTTCTTATTTAGGATCCTACTTTATTGTTAGTTTCTTTGTTTTGTTTAAAAACCTAAAAATCCACGGTGTGTACTAACAGATTTTTTAAAAATGAGATTCAATTAATTTTTGTGTCAAGACACAGAATGAGAAATATGAGGAATGGAATAGGGAATATTCCTTCTGGATTATGAGGAATACCGGTCTGCTCCTGGGTAAGTCAGAAAAACTCTGAATATTAATATATTTTTAAAATGGAATGTTAAGATTAACAACACTGGGGAATCCCCTGTGCCATTGCTAGCATATTGGCTAGCAAGCTATCCCCCAGTAAACCAATGGTTTGATGAGTTACCTGACATATCCAATTCTACTGTAAAGCCTACCCCTTCCATACAAAAAATCCCACTCAGGCTAGACACCTTGTCCTGCAGGTCCTTGTTCCCAGGATGTTGAGACTGTGGGCCTGAGCGGTGTTTGCTGCAGTTCCCTTCCATATTTTGTGCCTGTATTTCGTTTGTCTCCAGAGGAGGAGCTTGTGACCGGGGCCAGGGGACTGTATGCACCTGGGTCGGCCTGTGCAGCGGAGCTGGGAGAGCTGGAGAGCACGTCCTGAGCTGGGGGCTGGAAAGTGTCCCTTGGCCTCCGGTACAAGCATAGCCCTGGAGAATTATCCACGTGTCATGCAGCCAGGGTTCAGTATGTTCCAGGGGATACTTAAACATGAGTTCACTTCTGTTTTCATTGGATGAAATATTAAAAGTATGCTCAATTCTTACATTTTGCTAGAATGCGTTTACGTGGTTGAAGTGTTGGACCTTAAATCTACCCATGAGCAGCCTTTTAAAACAGTCTAGTCAAAATACAACTCTTCAGCTCTGCTTATGCATATTTTCTCCCTTGTAGTTCACAAATACATGTTTGCTGTATGTGCTGGTTACTTTTATTTTCTTTGGCACTGGGACAGCTTCCTCTGGCACTGGCACAGTGCATGGTTAATTCTTGCATCAGAATTAACTCTGAAGATGACAGAAGTTTTATTAGAGGTGATGGCACCTGGAACAGCAAGGTTTTTACTTGCCAGTTTCCAGAATTTTTTAGGGATAGCTCTCAATTTGTGGAATTTTGTATGGATCAGGAAGAAAAAAATATGTACAGACACAGACTATTCTATTTATAGCACTCTTCTGTTGGCTTCAGTTGTGTTTTAAGCTCTGTTTTAATTTAGCAAACGTTCTTTTTAAAACAAATATATACAAACAACAACAACAAAATATAAACTCCCTTTTTATTTCCTTCCTCTGTGTTTTTGGAAGCCTGTGTTAGTCTGCCTGTGTCACAGTCCTCACATAGTAAATACTTAACTAATGTATTCTAAAATTTTCAGTGAAAAGTGTTACGGTTTCAATTCCAAACATGACCCAGCCTAGCCTTTACTTGTGCATGCCCACAGTGATTCTGGACACTTCATAATCCAGCTGCAAATAGGCAATATTTACCCACTTTGTGATGGCCTTTTAGAAAATAAATTTTGAGTGTTGTGCAAATTGAACGTTACATGCTATGTAGATCCAAAACTTCTGGCATCTACCTGTGCCTGATTGCAGGACATGCTGTTATTTGTGAGCTTTGCATCCAAAGCTAGTGCTGGAAATGAGGGAAGGAGGATGTCTCCATTCTGTTGAGCTTTTTTCCTGAAGTTTGAATCCATGCCGCTAGATTTCCTTGTCATTTGTTATCTTGGAGTGACCTCTGCTGGGGAGAACACAGTCCAGCGCTGTTAACTCTTTACAGCCCACATGTATTTTTCCTTTCCAAAGGGTTGCAGAAGCATTTGGTCAAAGTATTACATAAACATAAGTTGCTCATGGTTAAGGAACGCTCTTAGTTGGATCCTTTTTTCCTGATTACACTCTTGATATCTACTTTTTATATTAAATTTTCAACACCTTGTAAAATATTACTGCTTTCACTGGAGTTAAACTTAGTAAAGACTAACTTTTATGAGGTAATATTTCTCCTCAGCAGAGCAAGGTTATTCCATGTGGCAAATTTTCCAGTGTTTTGTCTAGTCTTGTTTGTTGTTCTAAGCAATGGGCTTCTATTGCTTCACTTAAACTGTGCCATGGGCCAAGACAGCTTGCTGTCCAGGAATGCTCTCTGATACTCAGCCTAAGTTTTCCTTGTTTAGTTTTATCCCATTATTTCTATGTACATCCTTGTATAACACGTTCACTCTCTCTCCTTAGTGTTTACACCCTTCAGATATCTCTAGGCTGTTCTCATGTCCCCTACCTCCTCATTCATTACTGAGCCAAGCTATAAATATTTAGCTCTTTTAATCTTTCCTCATAAATAAGTCCTTCCTGCCTTCTGAGAAATTATGTTGACTTTCTCTGAACTCCCTCCAGTTTGTCAACCTTTTGGTAATGTAGGGCTCAGAATTGAACATAATATTTCTTATATATTACAACATAAAACATGATATAAACATATAGTTAAGACTGCTGGTGCTCATTTCTAAATAACCAAGCCACTTAATATTTGAGCAATATCTGAGTTAATTCTTGCTTTTAAGGTTACTTGTGCCACTTTCACACATGGTGTGTGCGATAAGTACAGGTGAATAACTTTGAAGCAGGAATTCTGAAGTCAGAATGCCATGTTCAGTTTTTGGTACACGATTATTGTTGTTTGCTGATCGTATTGCAGTAGTGGTCTTTGGGAGACTTGAGTCCCGATTACCTCATTTATATCTTTAGGTATTTCTTCTGTGGCTCAAAAGCCTGAAAGTTTACATGCTAAGTATGTTTATATTCTTCATACAAAGTTTAGAGAATTTCCAAACGATACATCCTTCCTTATCTTTATACTTCAACTCTGTTTTTTTTAACATGGGCAATATTGTGTATATACTGCTTATATAAAACAAGGGTGTAGTAACTAATGTAACATGGTAAATGTAGTAATTGTAGGGCTATGATAGGCAAACCTTTCGCTTTTGCATCCATAGTTAGGTTTCCTAAGATACTTCCTTATAAAAGCTTTGACGTTTGTCTTCTATATAATTCTGAAGAACATGTGTTAATGAAAAGTAAATAGCTATTGTGGAGTTAAGCATATTCCAACTCTTTTCTTGGCAGAAGTTGTTTGTTCTCCAGTGCAAGAATTGCTTAGTGGTACTTCTGGGGTCAGACAGGCAAGTTTTCTGTTCAGCAACTCTCTGCATTTTCATGGAAGTGGTTTAGAAGTTTTAGGAGCCTTTAATGTCCAGCTTGTGCTCAATGTTTCTAGGTCCCTGTGTGTGTGTGGTGTATATAGAACTGTGGTGGTGTGTATGCTGGAATGGGCAAGGAGAGGAGAGGTGGACAAGAAATCTGGAGAATCTGCGCGGTGTGCTCTGGACTTTTACAAACCGGGTGTTTGTAACATCTGATTATCTGATCTGCATTTAAAAATATTACTGTATTTTTCTTCCAATACCTTCTTTTCCTCTACTAAAGACAGAGTTCTAGCTTCTCGCAAAATGAAACCACAGAATGTTGTGACTTTACAGGAAAAATGCTAGGTATCATGAAGCTTACAGTATTGTTGCAAGAGTTGACAACAGGGTGACAGGCATGAGCTCTGTATGGTTATGTATTTCAGTCTTAATTGTTAGGCAGAGTACTTTGCGTCCTCCCTCATATGTTGAGCAGGTATTATTTGTCTGTTTTACAAATAACTATGCTCACTCCAGCAAAATCACAATTAAAACTGGTATTTCTAACATGGCAAGTATCACCAGCTTAGATGCAATGCTTTCAGATTTAGTGTACTTCATGTCTGTTCTAGGTTACATTATCTGTAGTGACTACATTAGAGAAATTGGGATTTGCTGTGATTCTCAGCTGCCTAGGAATATGTTTGTGGTTTCCACAATTAACTGCATGCTTTCATATAGGTTAACAGCATAGAAAAAACCTGCAAATACCTTGATGGGTACCTCGTGGTTGCTGGACCACATCCTGTAGACATCAGGACTCCTCACAGTAGACTCTTGAGGACTTGAGTACCCTCTGAGGAATTCATATTACAAGAAAGGGGCTTAATTATGTGTGCAGCTGAGAAAGTCATATTCTTAGGGCTGGGAGAGGTCTACTTGTCCTAAATTATTTAGTAGACTGTCTTTTAGTGTGAACAGCTGTCTTCTGAATTGTTTTACCTCAAGCAGAGGCAGTGTCTAGAAGATAGACTCTGCCATATCCCTGCATATAATGTCAGTGTTTGTATGGCCCTAAGATCTTGTTGCTTCCTCTTTAATTAATTGGCCACACAGTCTTTTTATTAATTCCCTAAAAAGTTATAATGGTTTTAACTTAACAACAAAGATAAGCACTGCACTTTTTTCTTTGAAAAACATATGAAATGTTAATTATGTAGCAGAGACATGAATGGTATAAACTGTACTGAATGTTAGAAGATGCTTAGCAACAAAGGTTTCCAAATATAGCAATTTATTATAAACTTATCCTTCTATGGCTGCCTGTAGCATTTCAAGAGGGTGAATATAAATATAGCTTGATTTCTTCAAGAAGTGGGTTCAGTCATATTGTTTACAGAGAAAGGAAGTATTTGCTTTGTAACTCTTAGAATTTATCTTGAACATCCGTGTTCATTACACATAATTTCAGTGTGCTGATATAAAACACTTGGACTGTGATAAGATAGCATCATGAGGAGAGGAAGAACAAATGTCTTTGTTTAAACAGTGGTCTCTTTTGCAGTAACATCTGTTTGGTTCCAGTGAGGATGCTGCATTGCAACCACTGAAACTTTGAGACTTCTGTGAAAGAAGCAAACTTTGTTTTGCATCAAAGTTTTTTTAAATTGCCCAATTGTAATACAGTTAACGGTATCACCTTGCTTAGCCTTTGGGACTGTAACAGTTCATGGCCTTGAGCTGGATGTTACAAAAATAAGAAATTGAACTACATCTTTGACCGGTATGAATCAGTATTACTCTGC